TTATTATTATTATTATCATAATAGTGATGATGAATATTACTATCATTATTATTATTGTCATCATTAGTATCATTAGTATCATTATTATTTTATCATGATAATAATGATGGTGATGATTATCATTATAATTATTATTATCATTTGTATTATTGTCATCATTATTATCATTGTTATCATGTCGGCCTTGCCAGTCCGCCTCCCCAAGGGTAACTAACTGGCAGTGCTTCACTTAGATGATAGTGCTGGGAGGAGGGCAAACATCCCTCCCACCCAGCAAGTAGGGCAGGATGAGGGCCCGCTGGGTTGGCGACCACTGAGACTCGGAATGGGGACGGGGTTACTCGTCCCGTCCGCGTTCCGATGGCCACCAGCCTGGTATTGGCTTTGCGGCAAATCCACCAGGAAGCCCACAAGCGGATTATGGAACCCGCGGCCAGCCACCCTTATCTAAATGGGGCAACGTCGGTGGGGGTAGCACAGGTGGCATCCACCCAGAGTGACCGTCCGAAGTTTATCCTTAAGCGGGCCGTCAGCTGGGGGCTTGAAACGTCTGCTCTTTGCGGCAGGATGATCGGTTTAGTTACCACTGCTGTTGAGGCTGCTCTCTCTCGATGAGAAGACCTGGTAGTGGCACGATCAATGTGGCTACACCTGTTACTGGTCGGGCTGCAGTGATGGTCACCATTTCCAGCCATCTCCAGCAGACTCAGCCCTCGGTAGTAGAGGCTACTCTAATGATGAGCGGTTAAAGGCATCAAGACTGAAGCTTGTATTAGGCTTCATGTCTCTTATTGCTGTGTACACTCCTACTCATGTTTGCAAACTTGATGTGACAGACAGCTGTCCTAGGCGAAATATTCTTATTGTTCTGGGTAACCTCAATGTGGTATCTGGCTGTGATTGAGTTGACTATGAGATGTCCATCAGTCCTTATGGTACCGGTGCTCTGATATACATCATCGGACATGGTACAGCAATGTAATGTGACCAAGGAAACTGACCATATCCTCATTAACACTTGCTGAGGATCCTCCAGAACTACAGGGTATATCGGAGTGCCAAGTTCTGCCGTTTTACAGCACGAGACAACGTGACAAACCTGCACTGCTGTGGAACACCTTCAAGTGTGAAATGCTTGATGCAGCTCAGGGAATTGATCGGCGACTGCCAAAGAGGTAGAAGACACTGGAAGCCACAGGTGCTTGTTGCATGGCTCGACGGTCATGGTTTCATGACTTGCTTCATTTTCTGGTGTGCAGGACTCAGATACTGATCAGAATGGACAAGGTATAGTTTATCAGGAATCTTGCAGAGGAGGTAGGTCATTTCTTAGTAAATGACCTTTGTCTTGCTTACCAGGCACTGAGAAGGCTGAACACCAAGCCCTCATCACAAGTGCCTGCAATCCACTCAGTAAATGGCCAGATCATCTCAGATTCTGTTGGGGTGTGGGAGCACTGGGCTTACTATTTTGAGCAGTTTTACCAGGTTGGTCCACCAACTGTTAACATTGATGCTTGTGCCAGACCCACCACCTGTGAGGATCCATCCTTCCTAACGGAAGTTAGGGAGGTAAAGCAGCGAGTATCTTCAACTGCATTGTTAAAAGTTGGTGGTGAACTTATGGTGCTGTGTTTGCATGCTGTTTTGGTTGCCATCTGGCAGACTGGTACCATACCCCCTGACCTATTGAGGGGTGTGATCATCCCTTTGAGAGGGGAAAGGGGATCAAGTGGACTGTAGCAATCCTCAATGCAGCACAATGGTGAGCATAACGGGCAAGGTTCTCTCCCACATTCCTCTGAGACAGATCCGAGACTATCTACAGAGGCAGGAGTAATCTGGATTCACTCCTGATAAGCCCACAATAGACTGTATCCTGATGCATTGAGTCATTGTAGAGCATTGTCGTGAGCTCAAGTATGGACTGCTTGCAACTTGCATCGACCTCAGGAAGGCGCTTTATACTGTCATCATGAATCACTCTGAGAGATCTTGAGACAGAGGAATCCCAACAAGAATTACTGGAGTAATAGCAAGCCTGTATACTGGAACTGCAAGTGCTGTAAAGTGTGGTGGGGCTCTGTCGAGCTTCTTCCCTGCAAATTCAGGAGTAAGGCAAGGCTTGTGCCAACACTATTCAGCACTTGCATGGAGTGGTAGAGCTACTATACAAAATCACTGTGGAGCGACACTGGTCAATGTTAATGCTTTCTATCTGAGTCTCTGGAATCCCTAGTGGCAGCTCTAGATGCATTTAGCAATGAAGTGAACCCTTGGGTCCAAAGGTCTCTTGGACCAAGACCAAGATCCAGGACTTTGGGGGAGTTTGTTACATTACTTTGGGCTATCAGGCCAGGAAGTTAGTAGATGGTTTGGCTTAGCAGCAGGGGTCATGAACTCTCTTGACAAGTGTATTTGGTTCTTGTGTAGAAGGACCAAGCTATGTGTCTTCAGGGCCTTGATGCTGCCCTTTTTTAACAGGTCCTAGTGCCGGATC